CTCAAATACTTCCCACATTTAGAATTGCTTTTAATATGAAAAGGTCGAATAGCTTGTCTGAGTAGATGGCACGAATAAAAAACTTGTACAATGCTTCAATTGGTTATTGAAATGTGGTAATAATTAGACTACATAGAGTCCAAGCCAATATAATATAAAATATCAATCTTGATGGCTAAATGATAATCACGTAATTCAACATTTTTGTAAAGATATGAAAAATAAGTTAGGAACATTATAGTAGCAACAAAGACTTAGACTCACGCATGTATCAGGCTCATATTTGAACTGAATAAGCGTTCAGGGACGGGACCCGAGAGCCGGTTATGAGAGAAATGGCTGCACGAAATAACAGACACAGATCTATTCTATCAGGTGATAATCGAATAAAATATTTTAGAAAAACAGGCTGAAAATATGAACAAAGAGAGATAATTGTGAAAAAAAAAAATGTCTTACAAGTGCCTGGCGTTGAGTAGCATGTCCAAACCTGGCGTGGTTTCAGTAGAGACGGGTATGGTACCATTAAGACTGTTCATACCGAGATCAAGCCAAGACAGCCGAGATAAGTTGCCAATGGAAGGTGGGATTGGCCCAGTAAACCCATTTGAATTCAATGATCTGTAGGAAAAACATGATACTTAATGAAATTATGGGGAAAAGGGAAAAAGAGAAGTAAATAACATTCTACTTTGGCATTAGGTCAATTTTGTCTAATATGTTGCACAATCATACTTTTAGCCATTTTTTTCTTTCTTTCTTACTTAATTTTTTTTTTTTTAAGAAAAATGTATTTGCAATTGAGTTCCTTACATATATCGAAGCTGCTGGAGAGAACCTATTGTATCAGGAATGGGACCGAAAAAGCTGCAACCGACCAATATCCTACATGCATTAGAAACAAGTAGATTTAACTGTCAATTTCTGATCTCATGCTATCCACTAATAGAAAGAAGACAAGAATCTTACAGAGTTGTAAGGTTCCTCAAATTGGCAATCGAAGGAGGAAGAGTCCCTCTAAGGCCAACGTTATTCGAGAGATCCCTGCATGCATCCACTGGTTATATAACCCTCAGAAAAACGAACGTCGATAATGAAACTTTAATTTTCCCAAAGTAACTTAAGGCCCACGATGGCAAGAAAAGAAATGATCCGTTCATTTCTTACTTTTACCTGTTTGAAGATTTCAACTTCTTAGAAAGAATTTATAGATTGGAAAGTAGAATCTACTGATTCTAGTTTTATAACAATAAAAGGATCATCAGAATGGGAACCATATCGAATTTCGTTTGAAGTAAGTTATGATAACATGAAATTGTTCGTCCTAGCTAATTGAGCACTCATAAGCCAGCAACAGAAACAGATGACGTACAAATACTGTAATCCGGTCAAAGATGAAAGGTCGCCAAATTGACTTCCTACCAAGCCCATTCCCCCTAACCTTCTGCAATTCGAGCAACCATATAAATAAGATACATAAATAAATATAAAAGAAAAAAAAAATATGAAGAAGAACAACTCGACAAAAGCATAGAAGCATAAAAAGACGGCGGCTCACAGGGAGGTGACACGTGTATCCGTGCAATTAACGCCTTCCCAATTGTCACTGCACGGATCTGGGCCCACCCAGTTTGGTGGCAGATTCCTCCAGCTAGATCTTAGAGCATTTAGAACAGCAACTTCCCAAAATATAAAAAATAAAAAATCAACAAAAACGAAGATGTAGAAACAAATGTACGCGTGGGGTTCAACATTTGTTAGAAAAATCTACGTATTTTAACGGGCATCCAATTTTCTGTCAACACGATTTTAGTTCCAAACAATTGACAAACTAAAATCGAGCTCAAAACACATCTCCACCAGCATGTATGTTTTCATTTTGTTATACTATTTCAAGAATGTAGCTGCAGTTAAGCAGTTAAGATTGATGTTTTGATAATCATAACAAACTTCTCATCACACACCAGTCAGTCAACTGTAAAAGTTGATTAGTTTTTCATGGCCTCAATACTAAATTCAAGGAGAGAACAGAGAAGACCAAGGAAAAAAAAAAAAAA